CCCCCCCCCCCTCCCCACCTCCCCTCTCCTCCTCCTTGTCTTCCTCCCACCTTCCCTCCCTCCTCCCTCTTCGCAAGTTCGACTCCGTCCTGTCGTCGCTCTTTGGCATGCGGTTAGCGTTGCGTATCTTGCGGCCGCACTCGCTCACTCTCACTCTCACTCTCACTCTCACTCTCACTCTCACTCTCACTCTCACTGTCTCTCTCTCTCTCATCTCTCTCATCTCTCTCATCTCTCTCATCTCTCTCATCTCTCTCATCTCTCTCTCATCTCTCTCTCATCTCTCTCATCTCTCCCTCATCTCTTTCTCATCTCTCTCATATCTCTCTCATCTCTCTCTCATCTCTCTCTCCTCTCTCTCTCTCTCTCTCTCTCCTCTCTCTCCTCTCTGTCTCTCGTCTTTCCGTCTCTCTTCTCTCTCTTCTCTCGCAGGAGGATCCGGGCAAAGAACCACATATAAAGGACTCTTCACCCCTGCCTCCAAAAAGAGCGCCGTGTTTTTTCCTACCTCGCTGCCCTCCACTTTCCCATTCTGGAGCGCTAGCTTTCGCCCCCCCCCTTGGACTCAAGTCGCAGCAGACGTGGGAGGGTCTGAGCGGAAGCTGCAGTTGTTCGCATGTTGTTGGAGGTTCTTCCCTGTAAGAGCCGGAGATGCACTTACGGCAGACTACCCCCAGGTTGCTTCTCTTCATTTACTGCAAATCATATATATATATATGGTCGCGCGCCCTTGTGGGCTGTAAGTTCTATAGTGTGCCGGCGTTTATATTTGCTTGGCGCTGGCAGGCGCAGAGCCAACCCAGCAGCTGGCCCAGAACCAACGACAGCAACTAAATCCCTGGTCGCACCCGGCGCAAAGGGGCGGGCCCAGAACCAACCACAGCAACTAAATCCCTGGTCGCGCCCCCAAATTGAGGCAGGCACAGAAATCAACCACGGCAACTAATTCCTTGGTCGCGCCCAGTTCAAAGAGGCAGGCCCAGAACCAACCACGGCAATGAAAATCCCTGGTCGCACCCGGCCCAAAGATGCAGGCCCAAACCAACCACAGCAACTAATTCCTTGTTCCCACCCAGCCCAAAGGGGCAAGCACAGAACCAACCACAACAGCTAAATCCCTGGCACATCTTTCATTGTTCGTCTTTTCCCAGTGAGCTGAGCACTGAAGCCCCAGGGCGGTCTGGCTGGTGATGATGCTGGGAAAGGCCCCGTGCCTATTTCAAACCTGTTTTCAAACAGTTTCAGACCTCTCTGGCGGCCATATCCAAAGCATGTGGAAAAGAATTCGTTCTCTCACAGCTCGAGAGGTGGTTACTGTACGTTTGCCAAAACTTATTTTTCTGCTTCAAGCTGTTGGAATTCTGAAGGGGCTTCAACCATCTTCAACCCTTTGCTTCAATGATTTTCAAGATGATTCTTCCTTGGGTATGTAGAAGGTCTCCAAAACATGCTGACTTGCCTCGAACCGTCCTTGTGGTGCATGCAACTACAAGTTCAGAGTACCAAAACGACTCGACCGCCTTACATTGGGATCCATGGCGTGCCATTTGTTTGAAGTCGTTGCAAATGCATGGTGGGGACAAGGTGTCTACAGCGTCCCCGTTAGCAAAGCCTCCGGCTGCATCAGCGCATGCAGGGTTCTCGCAACGGACGAAACACAATCCAAAGGTCACCTTTGGACAACTATTCGGCATTGAAGCCGAACACTAAAGCCATAGTGCGCGAACATTCCGAGCTAGGATGCAGGGCTTTGAGCGTTTTGGCGCATATCTATTGGTGTTGGCAAGGATGTGTCTCGCCCTGCTCGCCTCTCGCCTGATGCATCATATACTGTATGCATCGCCCGGGCCTACTAGGGCACTGTCAAGACGTTTGCGTTGTAGCAAGCATCTTCAACCCTTTTTTTGCTCTCTCTTCGACCTACTGCGGGCAGCTGAGGCCATGTGTTTCCTCATTGGCGCGACCGGACCTGGTGTCACTAAAACCGGAGAAGCATTGTGCCTGGGCTGTTGGCGCAGGGAGAATGTTTTGCTAAGCGCAGGGCAGCAGACAGGGTGTTTTCAGTTGTTTCCCGCACTGTAAGAATTAGGAGGCATTAGGCCACATGAACGTATAGCAGACGAGTATTTCAAGGTAGACCGCTTCGGGTTGCCCCGGGCGGACAGTGGACGCGGACAAGATGCACATATAATATCGCCACCCCGTTAACCATGAAAACGGGGGAGGGGATGTGAAATGTATGTTACACTTTTGGCCACCCCACCCCACCCAAAAATAGATGTATATAACTTGACCCCCTCCCACGCATTTGCAGTGCATACCCCCGGGGGGACTAAAATACAGGAAAATGTCTTTGATACGTGGGGACGCTTCTAAAATATACGGAAGAAAGGTGTTAAAATGTAAGTTACTTTGTTGGATGCCTCTAAAGCAGTGCAACGCATCTGGAATTTGAAGGCAACATGTGAATACTAGAGAACAAAAACTGCATGCGGGAAGTGGCCATGCAAGGCACTTACGGTCAAGTTGTAACTGAGAAGGAAGGAAGACATCTAGGCAGAAAAAAAAAAGGGAGAAAGGTCTAAAGGACAAATCCAGAAAGGCGCGAAGAAAGTAGAACCCACTCGAATGTAAGCTATTTTTTTTGGAGGCCTCTAAAGCAGTGGCATGTGGCAAATAATGAATGCAACGTGAAAGGAAATGAAAGCGCAGCATGAAAGGAACATGAAATGACATGAATGCAACGTGAAAGGAACATGAATGCAAAAGGAATGTTAAATGAAAGGAAAAGAATGCAAAATGAAAGGTAACGAATGCCACATAAAAGGGAAATGAAGGGGCATGTCAAAAGGGAAAGAGCGCTCAGCTTTTATGTTACAATTTTTACATGAAAGGACATGAACGCAACATGAAAGAGACATTAAAGGCAATTATTGCAGCAAACCAAAAAGAAAAAGGAATGAAATGAATGCAACATGAACGGAAAATGAAAGGAGGTGAATGCAACATGAAAAGACTGTGACTATGAAGGAACATGTCTACAGGGAAAGAGCCTTTAAAATTTAATGTTGTGTTTTGCATGAAAGGAAATGATTGCAACATGAAAGTAAAAGAAAGGGCACTGACGGCAAATCAGTGCAACATGAAAGGCACATGAAGGGAAGTTGTCTAAAGGAAAAGAACCTGCGCCATTTAACTTTACATTCCTCATCGTTTTGACATGAAAGGAAATGAACGCAACACGCGTGCCAGGTTACACGTTGTAAAAATCATGACCTGCAGCCCTCAAAAACTTCGCACACCAACGCTGCACGCGCCATGTTTTCAGCGTGCATTCTATATACTTGGCTTAGAATTGCTTACTTTCACACATGGCCCCCCTCACTAATTTGTGGCGATCATATAATATCTTTCCCGCGACTGTGGTTCATCCATGTATTGTTTTGCCTACGCCGAGCAAATGGGTCATGTCCACCAAGAAACTCAAGCTGCCACCATGTACCTGTACCTTGGACATAAATGTATATATATACTCTCTGCCGCTGACAACTAATGACGCAAGTTGTACCAACGCTGTATTGTTTGAGCACAGTCTTGGCAATGCCCGCCAATCGGTGAAGCACAGGTTTCAATGACCATGCGCACACCCTCCCCATACGTTTTAAGACGTCATTTATGGTTTCAACTCAAATACCCGGATTGTGTCAACTCACCCTTCAGACTCCGTAAGAAATAAATTTGAATGGAAGAGGATATGACTGAAGTGCGCGATCGAAGAGCATTAAGTCAAAAATGCAATTAAAAACTTATCATGCCACACGGCAGCTTCCAAGCCTCATAAAGACACAGTTCTGATGGCTTGGAGGGTCCAAGCTGCC